CCAACCTCCTCCCACAAATCTCGAGCTTTGTTTTTCAAAAGACAGGATGCAACTTTGACCTTTGCCCCCTCAGGGCAACAACTAGTACGGAAGGCGTTCGTGACATCCGCTAACCAACACCTTCTTGCAATCAGGTCCTTCTTCTCGAAGAACCCTAGAGCCCCACATGCCCGAAACTCTTGGAAAGTAAAAGAGAGGGCTCCCACTATTGCCACCATCTCAGAACAAAAAGCGCCCAAGGGTTCATTTAAAATCTACATAATACCCTCCTTGAACATATTGAAGATCACAAGAGTCTGCTTAAAAATACCGCGGGTAATCTCTAATGAAATGAGCTCCCGCATCTGATCATCCATAACCCGACCCTAGAGCCTGAACTCGAACCATCACCGACACCAAAACCACTACTAGAGCCTCCTCGAGTGACCACCATACTGAAAACAAACCACTCAAACCATCAAAATATATATATACTCGAAGAATCCCACATTCTAAAAGCTTCCTCGTATTATCGTGACTTTCCTTGACTCGAGTACGAATCCTCTACTTCCAGTAGTATAGGCCCATACTACCTTCCACATATATCTGTACTTTCCTCAAGGATCGCCCCAAATCCCCCCAAGTTACTTCCCTATCAATCCAAACGACCTCTAGCAAAGCAAAGCTCTCGGCACCGAATCACCTCCTAGGTTTTCCTAGGGCTACCACCAAACCACCCTCCGCCATCAGCTGTAGAAGGAACTCCCTCTAAAACCCTCTAACTAGCTTATGAACACAATTACATATCACCGACACTAGATAATTCTTTGAATGAAATGTCTCACCCTACAACGGTTAGACTCAGACAAGAACTGCGCAATGGGTTTAAACCTGACCTTCTTAAAATTAATAAATATCAGTGATATGTAAGTTATCATATTCACTTAATTGTTAGCTAATGTTAATGGGATCTATTAAAATGACAATGAAAGCAACATTCGAGCATTGAGTAATCTGAATCAAAGCATAACCTAAACAGACCATCCTATCACTGACTGAACTAGTACTAGCATGCAAGTCTACAAGCTCATACAATAGGCATATAAAGGCATCTCTCCTAGCATTCTATCATGCAAAATCCTTAGCATATCCTTAGCCTTAGTCTAGCACTCGATTCACAGATTCACAATTCAAACCATATTACAAATTTCTTTATTAGAAATTTGTATGCACCACACCTCTTTCTTTTATTAGAAATTTATTTATAAAACATTTCTTCTTATGAAACATTTACCAAATTCTCATTTTGAGTTCAGGCACACCCGAGAGTATGGTTGAATCCCTCAAACCAAGATACTAACTTGTAACATCCCAAAAATCAAAACCAAATTTTTTTGGTTTTATATTAAATAAACCATCAACCAAACATGTTTGCCAAACCATAAAATATTTAGACAATATCGACAAACATCCCAGAAGTAAATCAGAGTCAAATAAGCAGAAAATCATGGTGTGCGTAATGCGATCATCCCGAGCTCTTCCCCTTAGAACTGGAAGTACCTGAAACATAAACTGAAAACCCTAAGCGTAAAGCTTAGTCAGTTCCCCAAGATACCACAAACCATACATATACGTCAGCTGAAGGCTGTACCAGGTCTCTTTCACCCCCGAGTCTATTTCACCCGAGTCTATTTCAATTCATAAGTCAACCCAAGGTTGTACCGGGTCTATTTCACCCTTGGGTCTATTTCACCCCCGAATCTATTTCAACTTATATGTTAGCACAAGGCTGTCCCGGGTCTATTTCACCCCAGGTCTATTTAACCCTACATACATATAGCAAAAAGGCACACATGTATACAACGCATACATCTGGAGTCACAAAGACTACAAGCACATATAATCCCTAGTGTCCTACAGTATAGGGAGCAAACTCACCTCGGTCTGCTAACAAACGAATACATGCTCGGGCTACTGAACCGGAAAATCCCCGCACTAACCAATCAAATAAAACCCTAATTAATAATTGGGTCATAAACCATAATTGGGACTTTAATCAACCAATCCCGACTCCTAAGTTAAAAGACCATTTTACCCTTCCCCCAATTAGCCCAATAGCCGTGACCCAAACTCAATGGCACAAAAGCCCAATAATGACCCATTTCCTAAGAGACACTCAAGGCCCAATATGTACCCAAATACATGACGGCCCAATGCCTAACAATGACCCAACTCAGGAAAAACTAGTGGCCCAACAAGAGCCCAAAATCCTAACGTATAATGGCGGTCCAAACATCAAAAGTCCAAGTCTAGGTCGAGTATGCTAAGCGTACCACTAGTATGCCCGGCATATTTGCTCGCTACGCCAGATCGGGGGTCCATATGCATACTCGCAGCATACGCCTTCGTACGCCCGTCGTATGCTCCCTTAAGGAACTTCATCCATTAAGCCCTTAATACTTAAGAGCAAATGTCCATATTTTAGATCAATACCTTGGGGAACGTCTTAATCCATAAAGTCACTAAGTTGGTGCCTTTGCATGGCTCAAATAGACTCAAACCTTAGATTAGCTTCCTACATTCACCAAATGGACATATGCTAATGCATGGTTGATCCTCAACCATCAAGATGCTAACTTTATGAACTAGGGATATCAGAGATATCATGAGGAGCAACTTATAACTTCTAGGGTGGTAAATTTCCATTAGATCTCATCCATGGGACCAAAAAGTGACCAAAACTCTACTAGATCTAGATCTAAATATTGAATGAGCAGGGTCAATGCTTTATACCCTTATGAAGCTAGAAATGATGAATGGAATCTGGATCTACAAGCTCCTCATTCATCAATGCTCCTCAACCAAGCTTCTTCTTCTTGGAAATACACCAAACACACAACAAAACACACACAAATGTCAACTCTCTCGTGAAATGGATTAGGGTTTCGAAATGGGACTCAAAAGAGGCTGGTAAAGAGGAAACCTTGGGCATAAGGTTGCTTAAATAGGGTCCAAACCCTTAAATTAGGGTTTGAACCCTGATTACGTATGCCCCGCGTACAAGAGGTACGCCCAGCGTACGCTCCCCCTTCCCAAAATTTACAATAATGCCCCTTGGCACCACATTTGCAGACTAATCATACACAAGGGTTATAAACAAAGATACCTTGAAACGAGTGTTATAGTAGATGTCATATGTGTTGATGCCTATGTATCAACAAACTAGTCAGGAGCAGATTTTGAGATTTGACATTTTATTATGGAAAGCTTTCGCAAGATTGGCATCAAGAAGGGAATGGCATCGAGCAAAGGTATGCAATTCAGGTCACTTGCTAGCATAATGGCCCTCTTTTCGACATACTTGACAGTGAGGAGGGCATCTATTACCCCGACTCTTCCTCATTAAGAACCACCACGATATGAAGAATTGTCATGGTATAAATAATGACCACGTCCTCGTGAAGAAGAATAAGAGGAGCCATGAGAAGAGGCAGCATTGAAAGCAACCGGTGCAACAATTGGGTCAATAACTAATTGTAGAAATAACTCATGACTCTTGGCTTGAGAGACAAGATCACGGAAGTTGGTTTGTGGCGTCATGAGTCGATGTGTGGTGGAGAATGTCTCAAAAGACAAGCCAAGGCCGCAAAGAAACTAGTGGGATTTATCATTATCCTCTAGAGGATGACCAACAAATGTGAGTTGAACGCATATGTTTTTAAACTTGCAAGCGTATTCAACAACAGTGGTAGAGCCTTTCTTGAGGTGGTGAAGAGAATTACGTAGGACATGTGTTTATTCATGAGAATCATGGCGATAAGTGGCTTGAAGTGAGACCAAATAACATGAGAAGAGTGATGGCCTAAGGTTTCTGCCATGGTTTCTTCAAACAAAGAGGATTAGATGATGATTAAGGCATATTGATTAGCAACGACCCATGAGGCGTAAGCAAGATTGGGTGCTATATTTCCTCCGGTGACAATGGTTGGTGATGGCTTGGGAATCAAACCATCGACATAGCCTGAAAGGTTCTGATATGAAAAGAGAGGGAGCGTCTTTTTACTCCATAATATATAATTAGTGGATGAGAGTTTAATTGTGAGCATGTTAAGAACAGTTGCAATATGGAGAGGAGAATCAGAGTCGCCGACCATGGTGGAGAAGAAAAGAAGGCAGGTAAGAAGGTTTAGGCTGATGCCATGTAGGGTTTTCAAGAATCACCAAGCCATTAGTGAGATCTTAAAGAATCATTCCTATTACTCTGAAGACGAATCAAAATTATTTCCAGAAAGGTTCTTTGCGCTACTATAGTATTTCGAGGAGGGGAGATCGTCTTTGGCGATCAACCTAAGTTGTTGGTTTTGAACCATGTCACAACTCATTCCTGGCTTACACTTATGTGTCTTGGATGAGAATTGAACTTGGATCATCCTACTATGTTATTAACCAAAACGACTAGGCTATTGGGTGATAGCTGTAATTTTATAAAATTGTTTGTTGATTATCTAATATTTGGTCGGAATACATTTAAAATAAATATATACTTTAAGTTAATTATTTTTAGAAAATTAAATATGCTCTACTTTTTGTTTTTACAAAAAAGAGACGTGGTTATCACTAATCAGTTTATGTTATAGGCAGCAGATATTTTTAATTACATTATAAAATAAACATTTGATATCAGCATATAGCTTTTAAAAAACATCCCGTATTATAAAATTTGACTGGCAATATATTCGTTACTTAATTATGTACTTTACCATTTCTTCATAGATTCTAATTAAAAAGATCTTTGCAATGCTTTTTTGTAAAATGTTAATGAGAACGACAAGACGTTCATAAGAATGATTCCACCATTTAGGAAGTGGACCATAAAATAATTATTAAAGTTTCATGCCTATCTTATTATGCATGGCTCATTAACCACGCTATAAATAACCCTATCCCATCGCAATAACCAGAACACCTCAAATCCCAACATAAGGTCTCTCTCTCACATACACCTCACCATTTGTGAACCAATGGACTCAAGCACCAAGATGCGCAAAGGATTCATGAAAGGCAAGTTGGTCATGTCTTTCTATAGAGCCTCAAGGCCTCCTACCACCACCACAACCACAACCACGGTTAAGACCGGCCACAACATGACCACCAGTCAAAAGATGATTCCACCACCCTCTTCGTTGATCATGAACCAAGAGAAGGTGAACCCTCAACCTAAGCACAGTGTGTCCTACGTCATCCCACAAACCACGGGTACGTATGGAATGTTTGACAATCCCTATGGTGTGACAGTAGATGAAGCAGTAGATGCAAAAGCGACTAGTTATATCTCTTGTGTTCAGGAACGGTTTAAACTTGAACATGTTGATACCAAATGGGTTGAGCCAACCAGCTAATCATTAGTCGATTTCTATCAGTAGTGTTTCTTTTGTTTTTCGTTTTCATTTTATGTAGAGCGTCTGATTACATGATGTAAAACACATGAAATGAAAATCGAAGAGACAAATTAGAAACTCATTACTATGAATTTACATATCCATATATATAGGATAATTTAATGAATCAAGGTGGCTTGTTTTATTAAGGGATGTAATTTTTCTATTGACTCATCAACATAAAATATATGTTTCATTTACTATACAGTAACTATTGACTATACAGTAATATATAGGGGTGGCAAATCGGATCATCGTGTCGTGTTTTTGTCTGACAAGACACGACACGACAAGATATTATGTAACATGAACACCACACGGCACGATGTCGTGTTTTTTTTAAGCAATACGAAAACGAACCGATTAAAAAACGACAAACACGACACGACACGATAAAGATAACATAATAAAAAAATTTAGTTTGTTTAATTAATATTTAATCATACATAACACGAAAAACACAAATAAATGCTAAATCGTATCATTTTCGTGTCAAATTCTAAACACGAACACGACACGACACGACATCGTGTTTTTTACACTTAACACGAACACGACACGAACACGGATACGAATTTCAGTTTCGTCTCAATTTCGTTTCGTGTCGTGTATTTTTGTCGTTTCGTGTCAACAATTGTCACCCCTAATAACTGCAAATGTTAGATTTTGTTTTCAGTTTATACGATGAATTGGATTTCTTACCAATTAATTTACTAAATGTTTCAGTTTGTGACATTTTTTACTACTTTATGCATTTATAATTGGTAAAGCTTTGCTAACAAATAAAAACATTGCATAAACGGCATAAAATTAATTATAGTACTCATATAACAAAAATGTATAAGTTTGTTGTACATATTATTAATCGCTTAACTACTTTATTTTGTGTGTATTTTAAAATAAAACAAGATATTAAAATTTGGTTGTCATGCTATTCTATTTGAGCTTATGTGTTTAATTCCAGTCCTACGAATATACCTATAAAAATCATGAAATGAAGATGTTTCCTATTCTACACCTTACTACCTTAGTTCTACCTATATCCCAAGTAAACCTTCAACCTAACAGAAAGAGGACACTTCAAAATTCTCCTAGACCATAAGATTTTTGGTCATGAAATGAAGATGTTAAATGACAAAAAACTGCATAAACAAAAACCGGAATGCATTCATTTAGAGCTTTTTCTTCTAATTATTGATGTAATATCTATGATAAAACAAATATTGATAAGATGTGTAGAAGATGGTCAATCATATCAATATATAATGGTTACTAACCAGTAAATGTGTGAATTGAGAAAAACGATCTTTTATAAAGATATTGAATTTTTTAAAATAACATCAATATTAATTAAACAATATTGTATTTTATTTTTTGAACGTAGGGATCGTATAAAGTGCTACAAAAATATGCAAGCATAAGTATATTTATATATGAATAATTCTTTTCCCCACAAAACTACAAATATTTGGGGGAGAATCTTCTACCCATGTACTTTCAGCTTTAAATAAAGGGATAATGATGTATATACCATTGTGTTGAACAAACCATCCTCACTTTTTTTTACTTATCAACAAAGCCCTCTTTGATTTCTGATTTTTATACCTTTGCTCATATTCTCAGTTTTCCTGTATTCTACCGGTTACCTTGATGTAGATTTAAAACAAAAAGAAAAACATTGATTTTTTATACTTTAGATATTAGGTTAATTTTTTGGATGTCAACCTTCAAAACCTCCATTGGCATTAATTTTTGTTGGTTTTAATGTTTATGAGCAGTTCCTGTAATGCATCAACAAGAAACAATAGACATGTTGGATGGCTGAAAAAGGTTCATACATGGTTAAGAAAGTTTAAAATTTAATTGAAAGTACTCAGGTAGTCATGTTCATCATGTTGAATATCAGAACAAATATACGTGCAAAGAAAACCGACAAATAATACTGAAAACCATATTTCGATTACTTATGAATAATAAATCCAATTAAGTCGATCTTAAGTCGTCAACTTCTGAGTAAACACACAAGATTTGATTCATAATATATCACCGTTCCAAAAACTATGGAAGATGAGATAAACACAAAACAGTTACTCAGAACCAGAAAAAATGAGATTATATATATATATATATATATATATATATATATATATATATATAAGATATATATATATAATATATATATATATAGGTTATTCTATTCAAAGTAATTATTGTGTTATTGTATGCATAAATGTGGGCCAATTAAATTTACTTATTTTAAGAAAGTGATTAATATGTATTATTGAATTAAATATAATTGAAAAATATCATCTTAATTAATTACAAGGGTAATTTAGTCAATTAATGTAGATTTAATAAAGGAAAATTTCATTTTTTAAGGGATCATAGATTCTATTAATTTTAAAAATCCGATTTTACGAATTATAATTCTTTTTATTCGGACATTCTGACAGAATATGTTTATGAGTATATTCAAAAATAAAAATATTCTTGAACCATAAATAATAAAAATATTCTTGAACCTATTTCTTGATCATGAATTTAAAAACTTCTTGTAGAATAAAAACTTCTTGAACAATCAATTGAAGAATAAAAACAAAAAATACATTATTTCTTATAGAATACGTGTAACAATTGTTAATAATTACATTTATTGTTAAAGAATAAAACTAAAAAAACTTTCAAAACGGGAAAGAAAACATCAAAATCCAACAACGACTAATACATTCTAAAAGAATAATGTGGTTTGTTTCAATTTTGTGGTCCGTTCTTCAAGCATCAACTTCTGTGATTCCAACAGAATTGAAATTCGTGATTCCATTCCAACAGAATTGGAATCTCACCAATATCATCCATTGAATCATCTACATAAACATACTTGATACCTTTTCAGAATTCAACCTTGTTGCGATTACTCGAGCTTGACTTCTCTAGTTGGTGGTGCTAATTGCAAATAGTAAAATGGTTCACATTATTCCAAGATTCTGTAATTCTCAAATACCAAATGCAAGTAAAAAATCACCTGGGCAGGACATACCTGGCCTCCTATAACATATTGTATGGCTATAACATATTGTATGGCAGAGTAAACATAAAGAAAGCAAAAGCAGTTAGTTCCATCCAAACTCAAATTATACAAAGGAATCATAAAAACAACAAAGAAAATCTCTACCTTTAGATGGAGCAGCCGGCTGTGACAACCCCACCTCCACCTTCTTCTTCGTCTTCTGCAACGACCACACACTCTAGTGTGGTGTTTTCTTCTTGTTCTGTCGATCAAAGCACAAAACATACACCACCCCCAAATCACTACTTCTAAAAAACAGAAGTTGACGCAGCTAGAGGCTGCTAGAACAAAAAAAAAACTAATTTCTTCCTTCTTCATTTCCTGTGAATCAACAAACCCAAATTCCCTTCATTTTCATTGATTTCCCAGCAAACCCAAACACCCCAACGATTTCTATCAAACAAACAAACAAAATCCCAAAAGAATTTTTTTTTTTCGTTTTACTATTGAGGTATCAGAATAAAAAATCAACAATCTTTATCAGAATAAAAAATCAACAATCTTTATGCATAAAAATATGAACTTTTTACAAATTTAAGCTATCAACATGAAAAATCAAATATTTTTTTTGCAGAAAGTGTTAACACTTCACAAATTTGAGGCATTTGAATGATAAATCAACCATCTTTTGGCATAAAAATATGAACTATCAAAAACCCATAAATATTTTACCCGACTTAAAATCTAAATATCATATTTGCCATTTTTAATCTTTTCAAATATCTTATATGCCCAGATCTATTTTTTTTAATAGTTTTTATATTGTAAAATCATTATAATTAAAAAGAAACTAAATGGACCATTTTGCCCCTTCATTCTAGAACACATGAATTCTTCACAGATCCATTGGCTTTATGCTCTGGCTTCTTCATCACGACCGTTCATTGTTCACTCTCGCCATCTTCCTTTTTTCCTCTCACCAACTTCATTCCTTCCATCCCAATAAGCACATGTAATTATGCACTTTTTTCTAATTTGCCCAGATTCAACCAGGGGCTTTAAAGAATTCCCGTTTTTCCAGCAATACCAAAAACTGTAATAACATAAACATGACTCTAGAAGCCAAGACTGGGACCAAATATGTTACACTTCAAAAGTCATTTTAATTTAAGGAACAACCTGCAATATCATTGAAAAATTAGAAGTGCAGAAGCAAAATTAGGCTTGTGGTTTTGAGTCATGACCTAAACATAGGGCATATATGGAAAAGGAATTGTGAAATTAATAGACAGGCTTCAAGCATTCATGATTCTAGAGGAACATGTGTCTTGGTTGATAATGTTGCCAAAATGAAGGGTATATATGTAAAGGAGTTGTGAAAAATCATATTAAAGAAACCATATAGAAGTTCTAATCGCATTCTCAAAAAATTTGAAGCCCCTGGTTGAATTTGTTGCAAAAAGAAGGGTATTAAGGAAAATTCGTATTTACCTGGTGCTTATTTTCGATTAAAGGAATGAAGCTGGCGAGAGGCAAAAAGGAAGACGTAGAGAGTGCACAAGGAACGACTGTGAGGAAGAGGGCCAACGCATAAAACCAACAATATGAACTATGCACCGCCTGTGAGCTTCGTTTTCTTCGGCCTTCTTTGTGATCTGCGACAACCGAGGAACCGGAAGCAGCGCCGACGAGCCTTCGCTTTTCCCTCTATTCATTCGTCTGCTTGCAGACGTTCTTCCCTTGCCCGTTCAACAAATGACGACGGGATGCGATTTAAACCTAATCCCTTGTAAAATCTTTTAAAAATAGCAAAAATACCCTCACTATTAAACCTTTCCGCATCGATTATTTTTGGATGATCGGTGAGGGTTTTCCGAACAGGATAGCGTCAATATCTTGTAGGATGCTAGGGATTTATTGGGTGGGAGATTGAGGAAGACACGCTTATTAATTT